GCCGGCGGTGTACCACCGACCGAGTGCGAAACTAGGGAAGAACCCTCCTCCCCCTGGCAAGCGGATGCGGGCATAGTAGCCATGCTATGGTAAAATGAAGAAAGAAGAAATGAAAGACTCAGGCAAAAGCTTTGAGGTAAAGGGAAATTGGCGCAAGAAAGGAGAACCCTGTAAGGAAGATAGTCGCTCAATATGGCAGTATCTTCAAATAAAGGGAAAGCAAGTACATATATAGAGCAGGCAGCGGCTATTCGCCTGACCTGGGGACCAACGGAATCTGGCCATGTCAGTATCACTTTTTTGGGAAGCGCGCCGGTGGGGCCACCTCGGTCACTTTGCAACCATGCCAATAAATGACATTGTCATGCAAGCCCTCGGAAGTCTCTAGACCCCGAGAATTTTCACTATTGCTGGCATCGACCCTATTGAAACTATCGGCCTAATTTTTGAGATGGTGCCCGATTTCAAAGGCCTCGACTGCTCCAAGTATATGCCCCAAATAGCCAACATCAGAATTCGAAGGCAAAAACATTAAAACATGGAACGAGAAATACTTGAAACAGAGAAATTTTTATATTTCCAAGAATGCATTTACAACAGGGGAGAATTTACAAAGCCTTTCCCCTAGGAAACTCTTGCACAAAAAGGAAAAAAGACGACCTAAGTCTACTCCTCGCCCCCACTACCTTCGGAATCACCGTCGGAACCCTCATCTAGAGTAGCCAGAAAAGCAGACTCTTCCTCCAAGGTTCGGGCTTCCTCGATCTCAACTGAAATATCGACGCCCTTATCACTCGCTTCCTCAAGAGCGTGCCTCCTCAGTTGCGCATGAGCATAAGTAACGGCCCGAGTTAGCTTCTGCTCGGCCTTCACTAATATCTCTCGAGCTCATTCATTCGCAGTGGTGGCATCTTTCTTATACGAGGACGCCTTTTCTTCTGCCATAGACCTCCTCCTTGGCACTCTGCAGAAGGTCCCGGGTCGACGCCAGCTCCGTCCGCAGAAGGTCCCTCTCCGAGGCCACAATCCCATTTTGTCCCCTCAAATTGAGGACCTCCGCATCCTTGGCAACTGCCTCCTCTCGAAGCTGATCCACCAGGGCATTCTTTTTCCTGACCTGCTAGGGAAAAGAAAGTTGGTAAAATGCCAAGTTACAAGGACAAAGGGCAAGTTCGCAAATACAGTATTACCTGCTCGGCGAGGGTGTCTTTTTCTCGGCACATTTCTTCCGACCTCTCCCGGAGCCCACTCAGCTCCTCCTCCTTTCGGGCAGAAGAGGTCTCCGACTCCTTTAACTCCGAGGTGAGACCCTCTACCTCCTTCCTATGGCATGAAAGCTCATTTTGGAGCTTAGAGAAGGCATGATCATACATCATCTTGGACTACACCAAAGAAAAGATAGAAGGTCAAGCACAAAGATTTAGAAACACAAATGATATGCCAAGAGTATCACCTACCGATGAAGCCTCTCCGCCTCCTAGAGGGCATCATGAGCATCGAGATCGATATTATCATCGAAATCAGTAAGAAGGTCTTCAAGTACATTTCTCCCTTCGTAAAAGGCCCCCGCACCAGCAGAATCCTCATCCTGAGCATCCCTGATCTCCCCCGATGAGTATGAAGGGCCCAAATTGGTGCCACCCAGGGCACTAAGCTCCCTAAGGGTCTCATATCGCCCTCGAGAAACTTCGGGTTCGGGTTCGGGTTCTCCGAGTCATCAGCAATGGGTTCCTCGACAGGGACTGTACCACGTCCAGTTAAGAACTCGGGGACCATATCCGCACCCTCCTCGAAGGCCTCCACAACATGGGCTCGAGCCGAATCGATCACTCCCGATTCAGCGGCCCTCTGCCCAGCCACCTGCGGGGCATCCGTGCCCGACCTCGTCCTTTGTACCAAAGGGTTCTCATCATCGTCATCATCCTCATCCTCAGTACCGGGACTTGCCCCGATAACTGAAGTCGAGACCTCGGCATCAGCCTGAGGCTTGCGTGATTTGGGCTTCTTTGATGTAGGAGATTCAACAGCCGCCTTTCTCTTCCTCTTCTTACCCTTATCGGGCTTCGAGGTCTCTTCCTCGCCGTCGGGAAGCGGTCTCATCAACACTCCTTCGCCGAGGCCTACACAAGCATAATACTCAAAGCTTATCAACGCAGAGGGTACGCGAAAGAGATATTGAAACATGGTAGTGGCGGCAATAGAGGGCTTACCGTGATTCTTGGACGGCCACCGCATTTTAGCAAAATCGGGCCAAGAACGCTCGAGATGAGTGAAAGAAGTATTCAGTTGCCTAATCCACCCCGACAGTTCCTAGACCGCTTCGGGATACCAAATGGTACCTGCAAAAACAAAGGGAAGATCATTTTTTGAGAAGAAGGTAAGGAGACAATAAAGCATATTCAAAGGAAAGGCACTTGCACTCCATATTCCACTTCTCCGGGAATGGCATCCTTTCGGCTGGGATGATGTCCGAGGTCCTCACTTGGAAAAACCTGCTCATCCACCCCCGATCCTTTTTCTCATCTAGAGAAAAACGGCTTCGCGGATCGAGGGTGAAGCTTAATCAAACCTCGATAAAGATGAGGGCTATACAGTCTAATCAAGTGGTCAAGGGTAAAAGTCATACCCACGACCTTGCTGGAGAAATAACGGAGCATATAGACTATCCTCCAAAAAGATGGATAGATTTGGCCAAGCGTCACTTGATACTTGTGACAGAAGTCGAGAATAACTGGATCTACCGCCGGGGAAAAAGGGTCTGAAGAATCGACGGGACCTAAGGGGTATGTATATACATAAAGAAAGCCGGCCTTATTATCTGTTATGCTCTCACTAGAACTGGAATCTCAACCAACAATGTCATCTCCCATCGACAGTCTTCTATCACTTTTTGTATATTAGTTACGACGCTAATATACCGGGATACATGTTCGCATCGGCCCGGCATAGATGAGGGCCTCTCGATAGAGAAATCGTTCACAGTATCGAACTCGGTAGGGTACACTGTTCAACGGTGGGGGCCACTTTGGGTTTACCCTTGGATGTTCGAGACGAAGAGGCGGCACCCTCTTTTCGAGGCACCGTTTTAGAGGTTCTAGCTATGGTAGTGGAAATGTCTTTTTGAGAAAGGAAGTGATAAATCAATAACGGAAGAAAGAAGAATGTGAAAAAGGATGACTTTGGCTCTAAAAGTTTGAAGATGTTGTAAAAGTGTGAATCACTAAACGATTGAGGTATTTATAGAAGCCATATGGACAGCTGAAAGGACGAACCAATAGCGGTTCGTGGGCTTCTCGATAGTCATTGATGACCCTTGCGCGGCTTTTTGAGTAATGGCATTTAATGCTCTGATAGGCTGACGTCATGATGGTAGTGCCTAAGAAGTAGGGGTTCAAAATCGTTTCCTATCATTTTATCCTAGGAAACGCGGGGACTATCTGTATACGGTAAAAATTGGTGGTCCGATTTTTTGATCATTAAGGCGCCTTATAAAGACCGCCCCCAGAAGGCTCGAAGCTCAGCTCGGGGTTGCGACCTCGATCGACCTCGGGGCAGTGCGAACCATCGGCTACGGTGGATCAATATGAGGTTCCCAAGGCACGTGACTAGAGTTGACAAAGTCTATTAGGCTAGTCCAAACCCGTATCATGGCATTAAATGGCTGTACCAACCCCATATCTTTGTAATAAATGCATTTGTACTATATTGGGATTCCCCCTCATCTATAAAGGGGACCCTTGTCATTTTGTAAAGACATATATACAATACACTACATTCAATACAAGAACATTCTCTGCTCTCTAACTTAAACATATCCTCTTGGTCTCATTATTTACATTTATTGCTTATGTTCATTATATTCTATTAATTGTTCATCATGTATTGCTCATTATTAATCATAAAGAGCCGCCATCGCAGCTCTCATAACTGTTAATCCTTCATCGATCGCCCTTAGCCGAACGTCCGACTCGACCTCGAGGCCCTGTATCGCCAGCTCGAGGCCCCGATTTCCAGCCATTCAGTTTGATTATTACATTATCTATAAGCTATCATCTTAATTTCTAATCATTCACTTAGCATCTATTGCCTAACAACTAGCATAAAAATAGATCACATATTTTTAGAACCACAAAATCAAATGTAATTGTTATTACCATTTCCAAGGTAAACAGAAATTTATATCCAAATCAACTACAATCTCATTTTTTTCTTTCGATTCAATCAAATATTGTTCAAACACCTACTAAAATTACACGGATTTGACCAAGGAATAATGGCACTTGATGTATTAGGGAAAATAATACTACATGAAGTAGTTTTGATATTATTAATCTCTTATTTAGTACTAGTAATTTTTAACCATGTATTAGTTATACACGTATTCAGAACTATTTTTATAGATAGCAAACCATAGCATTAGCAAAATCATGATTTTTAATACATGAATAAGCATGTATAAAGACATAACTGTCTTTCAAAACCTTTAGTATGCCAAACCAAACAGTCGATAAGAATTAATTTCAGCATAACTAATTCCAACATAATTGATCTCAGTGTTACTAACCTATTTGGCCAAGCTTCTTTTGAGACAAAAGTGCTTCTTTTTTTTGTTGTCAAAAGTGTTTTTTTCTTAAATTAAGGTGTTTGGCCAAGATTTTAAAAGGAAAAAAGTGCTTTTCAGGAGAAGCAAAAATAGTTTCTGAGAAGCACAAAAAATTAGTTTATCTCCAAAAGCATTTTTTTTAAAAGCACTTTGAGAAAAATACACTTAGAATCACTTTTTAAAAGCTTAGCTAAATACTAATGGCTACTAAAAAGTACTTTTCAAATTAAATAGCCAAACACAAACTAGTTCTCACAAAAAAGTACCTTTTTTGAAAATAATTCCCAAAATAAGCTGATTTTAGAAGTTTGGCCAAATATGCTTTTTAGTATTATCCATTTATTCTAGTATACACCCAGTCAAACGACCCCTTAATGTAAAATTCAAGGATAAAAAAAGAAAATAGAAGTTACCCAAAAACTTGTCTTGAGAAACTGCGAGCTGTCCTCACTCGCTATACCTACCTTTCTGCTGTTTTGCAGTTGCACTAGGCGGGTACTCAAAACTACACAAACATCAAATTTAAAACACCCTTCAACCCAAAAAAAAAAAAAAAATTGCCTACTAAAAAATTTGAAAAATGGAAAACAATATCCCGGAAAATCTTGAGGGGTATTACGGCGGCGGAAGTGGCGACGCCGGCGGTAGCGTCGGCGGAGACGACGAGGAAGCGTTGATGCTGGAAGATGGAAGTGGAAGCAGTGATAGAAAGAAAACAGCAGACCGTGTAAAAGGACCGTGGTCACCTGAAGAAGATGCTATACTTAGTCGTTTAGTAAGTAATTTTGGGGCGAGGAATTGGAGTTTGATCGCCCGAGGAATTCCCGGTAGATCGGGTAAATCGTGTCGCTTAAGATGGTGTAATCAGCTTGACCCTGCTGTTAAACGCAAACCCTTCTCCGGTAACTTTCAACTGCCATGTTTTTATTTTTTATTTTTTTTTCCTTTTTTAATTTGTGTGTGTGACCATTTGGTGAAAGGGTTTTATTTTTTATATGGAAATTTTGTTTCTACTTGTGTCTTTTGTACAGCATTGATGTTTAGTTCGACCAAAGTTTGGATTTTTAACCTGAGGTTAATAAAATCTTGAACAGAAGGTACTGGCCATAGTTGTGTATTTTGATAAAATGTGGTTTTGTAGTGTATATGTTTAGTTCAAGCAAAGTTTGGATTTTTAACCTGGATCAACATTAAAGTTTGGATTTTTAAATTGAGGGCATTAGAATACTGAACAGAAGATATTCACCATAGTTGGATATTATGGTGAAATGTAGTTTCTATTTGGTGTTCATTAGTGTGTGCTCATTTGGTAAAAGGTTTTATTTCTGATACCGTTGTTTCTACTAATGTGTTTTTGTACAGCATTGATGCTTAAGTTTAGGAAAGTGTGGTTTTTTTTTAAAAATCTGGGTCAGGAAGTTTGGATTCTTTAAGCTGATGGAAGTAAAATACTGAACAGAAAGTCTTGAACAGAAGTTATTAACTGAGCTTAATGAATTCTTGAACAGAAGAAACTGACCATGGTTGCGTATTTGGGTGAAATGTAGTTTCCACTTTTGATTTTGTAGTGTATTGATGTTTAGTTCGAACACAATTTGGATTTTTAATTTGTGTCAAAATTTAAGTTCTAATTTTCAGCTTAAGATCAATAAAATCCTGAACAGAAGGTATATAACCACACTTGATAGTTCTGATGATCTTTAGGTTGGGAACTATGTAGTCATAAGCTGAATTACCTTGATGGGAAGATTGGATCAGGGTTTGATGATGTTAACGATGTCCAAATGCCTTCAGGTTAAAGTCATGGATCATTCAAGTGATCATCTATGCCACATACATTTTTGACATGTAAAACAGACTGTTACTTCCGTTCTTTTGGTTCCTTTTCCTATACGTTTTGGAGAAAGAAGAAACGAAATAGAGCCAACAACATATTTATAGGGCAGGAAGGAAATCCCAAAAACATATCGACAGTGCTTGAAAAATTAAAAGATCACTGTTATTTTTGTGATTAAAAGGTACACAAAGTAGAGCTCTACTTAGTGTGGTTAAATTTGAAAGGTACGAGTGTAAATCTTCTCAAAATCCTAAGTTTTGTACGCTACTTTCCTTACACAAGAGTTCAGTAGTGCTATTTTACAGTGGAGCTGGTGTAAATTTAAGGGGGAAAAGCAAGGGTGGTTTTTACAGACCCTGCCTGTCAAATCATAAATCAAGAAACCGGATAATGAAGAATCTGAATGATGATGACATAGTCTGAAGTGCAAAAGTGCAACCTCAAAAATGGTTAAACTTGCACTTGTATTTTCATCCCAGCTAGTCCTAGTGTCCTGATAATTATAAGGTTTGTGCTCATTTCAACTCTCTATTTAAGCTGAAAATACTCATGACATAAGACATTTATCAAGGGGTTTTGGCAGATCAGACCGCACTCAAGTCGTATTTCTTAAGACAAATCCTAGTAGTGAGATAGCAGAAGGACTTCATTTTCAGTTAACTGACCATTTCTTTTTGAATCGCTTTGCGCCTTACTGTCTGAAGAGTACACTTCTTTGAAATTTCTTTGAGTCATCCATGCAAAGCGAGGCCCCTCACTTTGCATCTCTTTATTGCTCTAAGCGTCGAAACGATCACATCTAAGTACTGACTGAAACTTGACTACAGATAGGTTGCAGCAAATTAGTGAACAAGGTTATGATGCCTTTGTTGGTTCTTCTCAACCTCTATTACTTTTGACGGCCTTCCTCTATTCTGTGCAAATTTCAAAGTTTTTAAGATTTTAAGTTAAACTGTTAAAATTCAAATTTTGAGATGATGTTTTTCAGCAAACTAACTTTTCAATAATAATTCTAATGTTTTCTTCCTCTCTCCCAACCATATGGTGTCACACAATGGACGAAAGAAGTATTTCTGTTTCTTTGAGTCTTAACTAAAAGCAGTGCTCTGTGAAATACCTGATTATCTTGCAATTTAGAAAATTATATGTGGGGTTAATTAGAAGCTAATATGACCGACCAACAGACATGCTGGTTATTGACCACTTCTCCTATGCTAAGTTGGGTTGGGAAGTAAAAGAGGGAGTGCACGGACTACATTCCTATTTGTTTGAGAAGTAAAGGAGGGAAAGCAGTAGTATTGAGGTTGCATCTTCGCTACATTGAGGACTTGGGTCCGTCGGTCATTCCCCATGGTTAACATTAAACCTCTAAGCATCCACAATACTTTCTGGGTTGCTGTGAAATGTGGAGTTCTGCGTGTATGTTAAGATTTGGTGATGTGCTGCATCAAACTAGATATACTTCTTAGTTTCCAGTTGTTGCACCCGTAGCTTCTGATCCTAAGAAGCAACTATCGTTATTCAAGTTTATACAATACAAGTAGCTGGTGAATGAAACTAACAATTCTGCCACTCTTGACAGATGAAGAAGATCGGATTATCCTTCAGGCCCATGCTGTTCATGGGAACAAATGGGCATCAATTGCAAGACTTTTGCCAGGTAGAACAGATAATGCCATTAAAAATCATTGGAATTCAACCTTGAGGCGCCGCTGTGCCGAACTTGGTAAGTTAAGAAGTGACTCCAGCAATGTTCCAGAAGATGTTAGTGCAGAAAAATCAAAAGTATCCTCTGAGGAAACCCAATCATGCGGTGATGTGAATTCTTCGAAAGCTATAGAAGGAAAAGATGTTAGCTCTCAGGAAAACCAAGAAGATAATCACTATGAGGATAAGAGTCACGAAGAAGTTCAACGGAGTGATGTAGCAAATGATCCTCCTACTCTCTTCCGTCCTGTGGCTCGTATAAGTGCTTTTAGCGCATATGGTTCTTTGAACGCCCCAGAAACCCTAGTGCAAACTCCACGACTAACTCCTATCCAATCGCCAGATCTTGGGATAAGCAAATTGCTTGAAGGAGCTTTCAGTGACAGATTAGTGCCTCACCAGTGCGGCCATGGCTGTTGTGGCAATGCTAGTCTGGAAAATAATGGAAGTTCTCTGTTGGGACCTGAGTTTGTTGATTACGCGGACGCTCCATCCTTCTCAAGCCATGAGTTGGCCACATTAGCCACAGAGATAAGTAATGTTGCTTGGTTTAAAAGTGGATTGGAAAACAGCAGCATCGAGGTTATATTCAATCCAGCAACCAGGGGAACGTGTGGTACCTCTCACTTGCCAAGCAGACCATTCTAATCTTTCAAATAAATAACCATATAAATTTAATTTTTGAAATGATGATGGATCTAGTGTCGGCGACTAGTAGGGACAGCTACCGTGAATATAAAAGATTTTGAGGCGGAGTTGATTTAAGTGAATGCTTATGAAGTATAGGATAAAGAGAAGAAGCTGGGTACCTGATTTAGTTAGTTTATATACTGAACTCTGGTTGAAAAGGGTGTATATGATTTATTTTCCCTTAGGCCTTCATTTATGAGAGGTGTTGAAGAATTTTTCTTAACCTAGTTAGATGAATCCAATTTTATGATTTGAAACTAATATGTTGTAATTTAACAACAATGATGATTTTTAAAGAGAGTGGTTCCTTGTTCCCTTAACTTATCGTCCTCAAAAATTGTATCAGTAATGAGGTATTAGCCCAGTTGGGATGGCACAAGTAAAGAGACAGTAAATTCTTGTATTTCATCAGCTTCTGGTAAAGCATCTAGACATAATGTCCTCTATATCAGTTTACTTTGTGGGGGTGATTTTGTATGAACTTCAAATCTCAGAAATGAGTGAATCTTCTCACTTTTGGACAATGGCTACTTCCTCTCTGGACTCTGATTAGTTTCTTTTGTTTGTACCTTTCTGCTTTGTAGCTGGTACTGTCGGGACACTGGTATTCCAATTATTGGAACTTCAGTGTTAGTGCCATTGTGTATGTATAACTTTAGATTATTGTTGCTGGCTACTTGCTGGATTAGCACTTAAATTTGAGATTAAGGCAATTATTATTGCAGAAAGGAGGTCTCAATAGAATGATAGAATTGGTTATCCAAGTACTATGTGAATAAGCCAGAAGTAGGTCTGAGAGGCTACGTTGCGCGGACTCTCCAAAACAGCTACTGCATCTGTGTCAGACCCTCAAAAAATACACCACAAACCACAAGGCAAAGGAGAAAAAGAGAGTAGCCAGACAGCCCCTGTGAAAGGAGGTACTTTGTGTAGGAGAAATATTAGTTGTTGCTACCAGACAGCCATTGTGAAAGCAATAAAAGATTAGAGACACAAGAAAAGCAGAACAAAAAGAGAAATGAAAAGAAATTGGAAGAATGTGGTGTACTGGCTCCTCTTTAACCACCACGGAAACACAGAGATCCACTGGTACAATGAAAGCAAAAGAAATCTCTCTGCTGTATTATTCTTTCTCCAAATCCTATCATTTGTTGCCTTTTGACTCACATTTGGATATGTGAAAGAGATGGATAACGGCTATAGACTGGGTACCATGCTAGATTTTATTTTCATATATCCCCCCGGAGTAAGTGATCAACTGGCATTATGAAAAATAAAAATAAAAAGTATATATTTCTACTAATAAACCACATTCGTCCTGAATTCTATGACTATAAATTATAGGTTCATAGCAACTATTTATTGTAATTTTAATAGATTTTTACACATAAATTTATGATAAAGTACTGGGTTCAAATGAACCCGACAAAGAAACAGTGAATCCTCCCTAGCCAAAGGGTCATCGAGCTATGATATTTCATGCGAATTTCCTAATACTTCTTCATGAATTTAGTTTGGAATTGAACTGAAGAACATTCTTAAAAGAAGTGGTTAATCAAGTAAACAATTTTTAGCAACTTTAGTAGTTAAACAACTATCAACATGCAAAAGTCGAAAGTAAATTCCAATAATAAATATGATTTCATCTTTAATCAAAGGTCTCGAATTTAAGCAAAAATATAAATTCGGATTAATCAGACCTCAAGCGAGTATCGAACACATAATGAAAAACAAAAACAATAAAGCAAATAATTTACTTTGATACCATTTCTTTAAATAATGTAATAGAAATTTCACAGCGACAAATTTCTTTTCCTTTTTTTTTGGTAAGTAAAATTTTCTATTGATCACCATTAAATTCTTTACATAGCCACAACTGATTTTTCACAATCAACTGTCTAACTGTTTAGTCTCTCTGCCCTATACACATTTCTGTATCTCCTCATATCCCTATTACTTACAACTAAAAAACATATTATTGTATCATTTGTCTATTTCTCTTAGTTGCTCTAACATTACATACATATGCAATTCTCCTAGCTAACTCCTCAGCTGCTTTGTTTTGCTTTTGGAAAATCCTGTAATTTCTTTCATTCCAGATTGCATGAATAACTTCAGTATACACCATCTTGAAAATTCCAGCCATAATCGATCTCCCCTTTGCATTCTCCTTAGCCCACTTCCAACGCTGGTTCCATTCTGTTTGCCAAAATGGTTTCTTCTGCATCCACTTTAACAGTTTCCCCCATACCCTCTTAATGTATTCACATTCCACAAAGATATGGTTCCTGGTTTCTTCATGTACTTTGCACAGAACACAATCTTTGTCAACCTGTATTCCCCATTTATGCAGTCTATCACTGGTCATCATCCTATCTTGGAAGTATAGCCCCATTGTGAATTTTGCTTTTGCCCTTGCTTCATTCCTGAACATAAACATCTTCCATTCAACTCGTGGTTGTTGGCCCAGCATAATCAAGTATAATTGTCTTATTGTGCTACATTTCCCTTCCATTGGCCTCTGTATTGCTTCAACCTCATCTCTTGCCTCTATCATTTTCCTGACTAACCATGAAGCTTGCTGTGGTATCTTCATGGTAGCCAGCTGTTGTTCTTTTATATCGTATTCATGGATCCATTTGATCCACATTTTATCTCCCTTATGTGCTAGATCCCAGTAGTTTTTAGCTGCTGTTGCTTTATTCCATATCCTCAAATTGATCAAATTTAGACCACCATCACTCTTAGGGAGACACAGCTTCTCCCATGCCACCAGAGATCTCCTTAATCACATTGACACCAGACCATATATAACTCCTACAGTATGCTTCAATAGCTTTAAGCACCTTACTAGAAATTAAGAACAGTTGTGACCAGTAAGCCTGAATACCAAACAACACAGACTGTACTAGTTGAATTCTTCCAGCATAAGATAAATTTTTTGCTGTCCATGAAGTTATCCTTTTAACCATTTTTTCAATCAATGGTTGCCATTGTGCAATAGTCATCTTCTTAGTAGTTAAGGGCACTCCTAGATATTTCACAGGCAGAGTACCTTTAGAGTATCCAAACTTCTTAATTATCTCTTCTTCAGCTTGCTTTGTAACACCACCAAAAAAGATGGAACTCTTCCCATGATTAGCTTTCAGTCCTGAAGTCCCATAAAAATGGTTGAGATACTGCTGCATTGTGGCAATTGAGTTCATGTCTCCTCTTGCAAAAAGTAGCAAATCATCTGCAAAACTCAGATGAGTTATGTTCAGCCTAGAACACCTTGGATGAAATTTGAACTCCTTTTCTTTCCTCAGTTCATTCAGACTCCTACTCAAGTATTCCATAGCAATTGCAAATAGGAAGGGAGACATAGAATCTCCTTGTCTTAATCCCTTAGCTGCTTGAAAAGGCTCGGCTGGTTCTCCATTAACTATAATTGAATATGTCACAGTGTGCATGCACTCCAGTATCCACTTCAAAAATTTGTAAGGAAATCCTAGTTTTATCATCACTTGCTCAAGGAAAGGCCATTCTACAGAATCATAGGCTTTAGTTAGGTCAATCTTGATCATGCATCTTGGAGAAGATTTCTTTCTTGTATAAGCTTTCACCAACTCACGAGCTAGGATTATGTTGTCTGCTATCTTCCTCCCTGGGATAAACCCTGCTTGTGCTTCATTCACTACACTAGCAATTACCTTCTGCAGCCTGCTAGCTAGAATTTTGGAGATAATCTTATAGACAACAGTACAACATGTAATAGGCCTAAAATCTTTAGCTGTGACTGGACTGTTCACCTTTGGCACCAAAGTGGTAGCTGTGCAGTTTATAGCTTTGTATAGTTCTCCTGTTGTAAAGAACTTTTGAACTACCTTCCCATTTCCTCTCTCAAAATTGGCCATGCTTTCCTGAAGAAACATGAGTTGTAACCATCTACTCCTGGAGCTTTATCTTCTTTTATATCACACAGTCCCTTATATACCTCTTCCTCTGTCACCTCATCAACCAATCTCAGTTGTTGCTCATGACTGGGTCTTGGTCCATTCTTCATTACTTCTTTGTTATTTTCTGGCAAATACTTGGCAGAAGTCCCCATCAAACTTTTGTAAAATCTTACAAATTTTTCTTTAATTTCTACTTGGCTCTTGACTTGCCTACCATCTTCTGTGGTTATCTCCATGATCTGTTTTCTGTTGCTTCTTTCTTTCACTATAGCAGAAAAATATTTATTGTTATTGTCTCCCAATTTGATCCATTTCACCCTTGACTTTTGCTGTAGGATGCTTTCTTCAATGAGTGACCACTTTTCTACTTGCTGTATAATTTGCTTCTCCAGCTCTAAGAGATTATCATTATATTGCCTTTGAATCTCTTCTTGTATCATGTGTAGGTTGCTTCTTGCCTCTTCAATTTTCTTTGTTATTCATTTATACTCATCTTCATTTAGTTTCTTAAACATTGGCTTCATAGCTTTCGGTTTTCTCCATATATTTTTCATTCCCTCTTCTGACATTCTCCTGCTCCATATGGACTTTACTATGTTTTCAAAGTCTTTATGATCTGCCCATACATTATAAAACCTGAATGGAGATTTTATATTTGTTCTCTCAGCCTTGATGTTTAGTAGCATTGGTGAGTGATCTGATATCATAGGAACATCATACTCAGTGCTAATGTGTCCCGAGTTTGTCATCCACATGTCATTCCCAAACACTCCGTCAATTCTGCTTAATATTCTGTCATCTCCCTGCTGCTTATTAGACCAAGTGTAGTATTCACCCTTCCATGTTAACTCATTCAAGAATAGTTTCTGGATGCAGTCTGTGAAGTCCACCATTTCATTCATAGTCACTGATTACCATACTTTCTATCTTGTACTTGCATCATAGAATTGAAATCTCCACCAATTATCCATGACTTGCTTACTTGTTTAGCTATGACTTCTAGATTATTCCATACTGATTTCCTCTTTTCAATTGTATTATATCTATACACCAGTGTTAAACAAGCTTCAAATCCATCTACTCTGCCTCTTATTATACCATGAATCAACTGAGCATCAATCACTTCAATATCAATACAGTATGTTTTAGGATCCCAAGCCAGCCAGATTCTTCCATTCACAACACTCTGATAGTTGTTCTTCATTTCCCATCCTGGAACCATGCTGTTAACTATTCTGTTAGCTCTTCCCTCTTTCACCCTAGTCTCCACAAATCCTGCTAGTTTTATTTGCTTGTTCTTTATTTAGTTCTTTATTTCTTTTTGCTTATATCTCTTATTTATTCCCCTTACATTCCATATCAATCAGGTCATTGCACTATTATAGGTGACCACATATCAGCTGAGGCTAAGCTTTTTTGAGTCCCCTTTCCACCTATACTCTCCCCCTTT